TAAAACACATCCAGATTCAGGATCTCGATCCTATCCTTTTTGCTAGTGGGACCTCGGCCCAGGGGTGTCGTGCTGCCGTTAACGAAGTCGTGGACGCGTGGGTGCAGGTGTGTCATTTTTTTTTTTCTCTCTTTTTCTTTTTCTTTTTTCCAGGCTTGAGGTATCATGGTTGAACTGACCGGGCCCCTGGGGCCAAGTCCCACTTACCCGATTTTTTTTTTTCTCACTTTCTGACCGTAGATTACGAAGATTGACGGAGAGAAAAAATGGAGAGCAATCAGCGTAAGTGGGACTTGAGGGGCCCCAGGTAAGAGTTATTTTTATTTGCTGCTGATCCCCATGAACAGATCGGAGCCATCAGAATAGCAAAGCCCCCAAATTCCCCATGCCTCCCCTGGGTCGGTTGTGGACGCGCGGGTGTAGATGGGTCGGTTTTTTTTTTTTTTTTTTTTTTTTTTTTTTTTTTTTTTTTTTCCCAGGCTTGAGGTATCATGGTTGAACTGACCGGCCCCAGGGCCGAGGTCACACTAGCAAAGAGGATAGGATCAAGCTCCTGCATCTGGATGTGTTTTATGCGGAGGTGCAGAAAAGCAGTTCAATCTCGATTCCCTGCACATCTCCATAAACTCGTCCAGATTCAGGCATTCGATTCGTTCCTCTTTGCTAATGGGACCACGCCCCAGTTGATCAGAGTTATTTGCTGCTCCTCGCGAATAGATCGGAGCCATCACAATAGCAAGCCCCCAGGGACCTTGTCCCACTAGCTCCGTTGAGCTAGGTCAACGTGGGTTTTTCGAGCCTGTGTGACTGTACGCGACAAGGGAGATGCACATCGTCCAATTCATCTAACCGTCCGTTTCAAATAAAAAGGGCAATAGAGACCATCTTCGCTTTTTCTTACAACAAAAAACAGAAATAAATCCTTTCTCTCGAATACTACCACCCCTAACCTGGCCACTTTCCGTTGAACTAGCTGTCTCCTTTTWTCGAGACAGCTAGTTCAAAGACCCTCTTGTTCCCCCAACAGGCGTTTTTCAAGAGAAACTGTACGAGCCTCCTTCCGTTTGCCATTTTTGGATGGGATTCGGGCACCTCTTCATTTTCTGCTGTGGAAGTGCCCGTATGCCACTCCAATTGTGAAAAATGAAAAACGAGAACAATTGTATTCCTGCCATTTATAAATGCATTTCTCGTTTGAAATTGAATAAAAATGATTTTTTTTAGCTGTCGCACCGTTGAGCTGCCTCAACTAAGCGGTGCATATGGGACATGGTCCCAGGCCCCATGCCTCACTAGGTCGACTTGCACTTCGAATTAAAAAAAAAAAATAATAATAATAAATATTTTACGCGTTTGATTCGTAAGGCTCGAAGTCAGATCTATTTGTCAGTAGCTCATAGGTGTACCGTTCACCCCAATGCGGGGGTGGGGGGGGCCCAAGGCCAGAGAGGCCGTCCGTCTATGTACCGTTCAGCCGCATGCTCTTTTTTTTTCTTTTTTTCTTTTCTTCGAGGAGGGGAAACTTTGTGCCCAAGGCCAGAGAGACCGTCCGTCTATTTACCGTTCAGCCGCATGCTCTTTTTTTTTTTTTTTTTTTTGTGATAAGGGGGGGGGAACTTCGTGCCCAAGGCCAGAGAGGCCGTCCGTCTATGCTCTGGAAACGCCCCCTGATGAGGTCGCTAACTGACGGCGACCGAAACTATGGTAGTCGGGGATGCCAGCTCCTCGGTCCTGATGACGGAGGTGCCATAGCTAAGCTATGGACTGTGCTTCATTGTTGTCTTCTGTGGATTTTTTCGAGATCCTTTTCACATACTCCTGTTGCGCAGTGCAGCTATGTGTTGGGCGTTCGTCGGTCTTGACTGACTTTACTATTCTATTACCATGCTCTGGGTGATGGCTGACCCCTTCAGGCGATCAATGTGTGCCCCTAGTAACCGGCCTCTACAACACCCTGGGATTTAAAAAAAGAAAAAGAAAAAAAGAAGAGAGTCTTTTCAGTTTTTGGCTAGCGGAAGCCAACGGCCTCTACAACACCCTGGGCTTTTCAAAAAAAGAAAGGAAAAAAAAAAAAAAAAAAAGAGTCTTTTCAGTTTTTGGCTAGCGGAAGCCAACCCCTGAGGTACTGCTACCTCACTTGCCCAAACAGCTCAAAGCGTCAGTCTGAGAGAACCTGCCCTTCTTTACGAGCTTTGGTTATGTCTGTCACAGTCTGTCACAGTCTGTCACAGTCTGTCACAGTCTGTCACAGTCTGTGCAGGTGATGGAGATGGAGCCTTTTGCTTAGAACAGTGACATGGAAGGCTGGCTAATAGTATGGTGGACCTCGCAATCTCTACAGTCTTGGCCTGAATAGATAGAATGTATTTCGTCATTATAGCAGCGGAATTTGGGGTATGTTTCAGTCCAAATACAGGTGCTATAAGACCAAATACGTTGTATTCGGGGGGAAGAATGGAAGTGTATTGGTTCCTCGCTACTTATCTATGCTTACCTCTTCGTTGTGGGCTGCAGGTGGGGGGGGGGGGTTGTCCCATTTGCCTTCAATTCAATAGCCATCTCTATGCTATTCTTTAAAAAATAAATAAAAAGTAAAAAAAAAAATCAGGGTTACCAGGTAGAGTGGTACGAGCATATCACCATATCTCTAGCCTAGTCTGTTCTTCTGCTGTCAAGTAAACATCACAGATTTGCAAAAATTTCCTTGCTTCTGGTTCTTTCCCTATATAACATATCCTTCCAGCGGAGATTTAATGAATTCTTTGTTGTAATTTGCTTGGAATTTGGTCAAACACACTGGTTTTCAACCTTCAACATTCAATAACTTTCTTGGCCTTTCGGCTAAGACCAACTGTGAGCGGACTCCCCTGAACATGAAGTTCTCATTTAAAAAAAAAAAAAAAAAAAAAAAAGATCAAGTGTACGATGTCTTCTGATCAGTTTCATACCTGATCCGTTGTTCATCAGAGAGAGGGGGAGGGGAATCAACATTCAAGTTGACTTCAACGAAAACTTCGAAGGCGGACACAAAGAGGCACTCGAGACATTCGATACAATAATAATAATAATATATTAATAATTCAATGTTTGTTGTAATGGGTATAATACAGCAGGGGCCGTGCTCCCATTAGCAAAGAGCATCGGATTGAATGCCTGAATCTGGACGTGTTTGAGGACAGGAACAGGAAATCGAGATAGAACTGCTTTTCTGTATCTCTGCATAAAACATGGCCAGATACAGGATTTCCCCTTCGCTAATGGGACGACGGCCCAGAGGGTGGTGATCCAGGAGATCGCAACCATGAATTGTCCTTTTTTTTTTTCTTTTTTTTTTTCCCCTAATCTTTTCAAAAGAGGATAGCTCGTTATCTTATTGTACCCTACAGGATTCCAACACGAGACCTGTCCAGTGTTCTTCGACAGTTATATCTATCGAACAACACTGAACAGGTCTCGTGTCGGCATCCTGAAGGGTAGGGTAGCGAGTACGATTCATCCACAAGGACTGTAGGGTAGGGTAGCAAGTACGATTCATCCACAAGGACAAAGTCCAAACTACACTTCCCCAAAACAAAAACCTCTTTATCCGTTCCTTCTCCTGCTCCAAGGCCAGGTGAGAGTTGTTCATTTTTCAAAAAAGAAAAAAAAAAAAGAAAAGAAAAAAAAAGAAGAGTTGTTCATTTTTTATTCTAGATACTAACCCCCCCTTCTGAGACTCCCACCGACCCTTCCTTTCGTTAATTCTCCTCGGCGCTTTTACATCCTCAGGGTGGTAGCGGTGGTTAGGAGATTCTGCTCTCTCTCTCTCTCTCTCTCTCTCTCTCTCTCTCTCTCTCTCTAATCCACAGTACTTGCTACCGTCTTCATCCGAATAGAACGCCCGGTCATTACCCCTGGATATGGGGCAAACTTCAGTCCAGATGCAGCCATCGTTACTGGGCGTTCTATTCGGCTGAAGCCGGTAGTAGGACCTTGGCCCCAGTCTCTTAACACCGGGAAAGAGAAGTGACACGAGAGAGAGAGAGAGAGAGAGAGAGAGAGAGAGAGAGAGAGAGAGAGAGTTTTGCTACAGCACCTGTTCTCTTGCTATTCAAGGGGGTTAATCCATTACATTATTGTACCATTATTGCTATTCAGGACTTGAGCTCACTACATGTCTGTCCCATTCAACCACAGGGCAGATATGCTCCCCTTTCTCTGTCTCGACAATTGGCTTATCCACCAAGATGGTGGTTCTCAAATCAAGAGCGGCATGTGTGTAGTATCATTCAGCCACGAGGTAGAGGTGCGGTCGACTTTCTCTGCCTTGTTAAAGAGGGTTCGCCCCTAACATTGTTGTACTACACATAGCAGGATCTGAACTCGTGATCTGTTCACCAAGCACCGCCTGTATGTACAACTTCAGCCACAAAAGAGGTCTGCTCCCCTTCTCTTGCAGAAGGTGGACATCGACCTCGCCGCTTGCTTTTCCCTCAACGTTAACATCGACAAGACATGAATGTATTTCTCTCGACGGGAAACAAGAAGAAGAAGAAGAAGAAGAAGAAGAAGGAGAAGAAGAAGAAGATCACCGAAAACAACAACAACAACAACAGCAACAACAACAACAACAACAACAACAACAACAAAAGAAGAAGAAGAAGAGGAGGAGGAGGAGGAGGAAGAAGAATAAGAAGAAGAAGATCAACGAAAACAACAACAACAACAACAAAAGAAGAAGAAGAAGAAGAAGAAGAAGAAGAAGAAGAAGAAGAGGAAGAGGAGAAGGAGGAGGAGGAGGAGGAGGAAGAAGAAGAAGAAGAGGAGGAGAAGAAGAAGAGGAAGAAGAAGAAGAGGAGGAGGAGGAGGAGGAGGAGGAGGAGGAAGAAGAAGAAGAAGAGGAGAAGAAGAAGAGGAAGAAGAAGAAGAGGAGGAGGAGAAGAAGAGGAGGAGGAGGAGGAGGGATGTAAGCACAGAAAAGAGGCACTGGATAGAATGTTTCATTGCAGTCAGGCTCTCACCGTCTAAGGAGGTGGTTCAACCCGGCAGGAGGTCGAAGCCTGTGTAGGCTGTGGAGTCCTGGATGAAGACTTGCACGCACTGCAAATCGCCCAAAATGCAATGCACAAGTTCGATTCCAGGTTAACCTATGCACGCATGACGCTTGGGTGGGCGTCTTCGGCAAACGAGGACTTTTTTTTCTACTGAATCCGGTTGTAAATACGCTGAATCAGATGCTACACATTTACCAAAACCCTGCCCTGCTGCAAGTACAGCTATGCCCTAACTCTTGCCCCGCCTTTAACCCAGTTGCTGCAGGATATGAACACCTAGCAAACCAGGTTTCACCACTCCTGCTATCACCACCTACCCTTAAGCAAACCGGACCAGTTCCAACCTCGCATCAACCATCCTCTTTCTCTCTCTCTCTCTCTCTCTCTCTCTCTCTCTCTCTCTCTCTCTCTCTCTCTCTCTCTCTCTCTCTCTCT